TGTATAGGGTTTCCAAGGCTATAACTCATTATGGGAGTAGAAAGCCTCATCTTTCTTGGGCAGAGTGGCTAGTGCATTTAAACTTGCTGTTAGCAGCCCAATGCATAAGTCACAACACCACCAGAACTGTTTGTAACGAGACTAAGACAAGTATAGAACTGAGAGAACTTGTCTGCAGTCATCCACTGATCACAGGGAGGTGTTTAAAAATCTTTTGTTTGGGATAACTTTGTACATGTATGAATGAGAACCCTTGTAGCAATACTTTTTGACTTACCATTGTATTTCAAGGAAATGGCTTAGGTAGCTAGTTGTGAAGGCTGGCAGGTCTCAAATCTATAGGTCAGGTATCGGGTTGGAGACTTCTCCTCCCTCCTCCCGTTGTTGCAGGGGTTGATGAACCTAAAATCTGGTCATCAGGTGGCAGGCTCATGTCCCTGAAACCGGAGGTCTGATGACAAATAGTCCCAGTGAACTATGCCAGAACATCTATCATTATCCTTTAACTATTTTTTTCCTACAGGTTTTTTGAAGCCCACTCATATATCAAATGGAGGCCACACCCCAAGGAAACAATCTCTCAACGGCTCACATCAAATCACAAAATGGAGAATATTTGATTTCATTATAGAAAAGCCTTCAGTCTGATGATTGTCAAACCCCTGAAAATCACAGTCAAGCCAAGTTGACACATAATATTAAGCATCACAATGCTCTATGATCTAATTTAAAAATTGCAAATTAGGATAACTTCCTCTCCTGCAAGAGAAGCCTGCTTCCTGAGAGTGGAAAATTCAAAGAGACAAAAACAATTTTTGCTTAAAGAAAACAGGTTCCCATAGCAATGAAGTACTTCAAGCCTACTGAGTTAACATTAAAAAGTCGCTTCCTAAATATTAGGCCCTCTACCCACCACCTAGGAATTAAAATAGAAGAACCGGGAATCATTTTCATTACATCGCAAGTTAGTGGTTTTGTTAATATCTGTTCTTTGAATTGGAAAGATTAGCAATTTTGGGTGATAGAAAATAAAAAATTCGCAGGCAGGGTTAATTTTGAGTTAGGAATTTTTAATACAAATTTTAGTCCACATTTGTAATTTATGTAATTGTGTGACTAGAATTTGAGTTGTAGGGGACTTGACTTTTGCTCACTGTTATATTCTAGTGCCCAGAGAGTTCACACTGAGTTGATCTAAACAAACATGTATTGAATGAATGTAATGGAGGAGGCCAGATTAGAAGCTTTCAGGGCAAAACCAAATCCCTGAAATAATCTCATGTTCTTTGAACATGGTATGAGGAGGGGTCAGTCCCTGGAGAAGGATATCTCGCTTGGTAAAGTTGTTGAGTGCTGTAGAGTCCTTCAGACTCATAGCGAATCTGCATAGGGTTTCTGAAGACCAGCTGGTGGGTTTGAACCAATGAACGGTCCAGTGCTTAACCTACAGCACCAGGGTCAGTGAAAAAGATGACCCTCAATGAGCTAGACACAGGGCTCAAAAAACAATTGAGGATGGAGTGTTTCTTGTTGTAAATAGGGTTACTATAAAAACAAGTAAGAATGGCTAAAGGGCTCTGGTAGCACAGAAGTCATGAGTTAGGCTGCTAATCTCACACCACAGTCAGCAGTTTGAAACTCCCAGCGATTCTGAGGGAGAAAGATGAGGCTTTCTGTTCCTGTAAAGATTTACGGCCTTGGAAATCCTATGCAGGGTCGCTGTGAGTAGGGACCGACTCCACAACACACCACCACCACCACCACCACCACCGCGGCCACCCCACCAGGCCCTAAACTGCCTCCTGACATTTTCTCTTAAACATATCTCTTCATAAGATTCTCTGTCCCATAGCGCAAACCATTTCTGCTGGCTGGATCTCTTTCTGTCCTCTTTACCAGCCTCTGCATCTCAGTTGAGACATCACTTCTTTAGGAAGCATCTACTTCAGATGATTTTGTACCTAGATTATTTTTTTCCAGAAACAAAATATCTGAACATACTAGATTTAGAACACTGTCTGCTTGTTATTCATTATTCATGTCTCCCTCACGGTGAGCTATCTTACTCACTAATATATGCAGAGTCTTGCTCATCACAGAACCCAATATTAGAAAATGAAATGTCCGCCTGCACGTCAGCCCCAGCCTGGGTATCTATCTATCTGCACACTCCCCTGGAGGCCATGAACAGTGAGGAATTGTAATGTGGGAACAGTTTGATTAAGAGGAAGCTGAGGGAGGCTTGCCCCAGCACCACCAGGCAGGAGGCCCTGAAGCAGATCCTGCGGGGGCTGGGCGAGGAAGCAGTTTCTTCCTCTGCTCACTCCAGGAGTGGGGGGAAGGGAGAGAGAAAGTTCCTTCCAGGGAGGCTCCTTGGCACTGAGCCCGCTTTGAGGAGGGGGCGGGTAGCACAGTGAAAGCAGGCATTCTCCCCGCCTCAGGCCTCCAGCCACGGGAGAGGGAGGGAAACCGCAGGCCAAGGAGAGGAAGAGGCGAGGGGGAAGGGGAGGAAGGAGGGGGCAAGTCGGGAAAGGTTTGGTTGCTGTGCAAGGCACGAAGGAGGGGCTGAGCAGACTCCTACTACAGCCACATCGCCACTGGATTAGCTCTGGAAAGAGCCTGAAATCAGTGAGTTAAGAGAATCAATACACTGGGAAGTTGAACGATTAGGATCAGATCATCTAAATCATCTCAGAGCTAGAAAAGCTTTCAGAGGCATGTGTCTGGAGTTGGCAGGGCGCAGGCCTGGAGTCCAGAACTTTGATCTTACTCTGTCCTTGCGGGCAGGCTGCGATGAGTAGGTCAGTTCTCAGAACTTTTCCTGGGTCTCTCTTCTTGCTGGAGCAGTTGTCTAACTCAGCGAATACCTGACAACCCCTTCTTTGCATTTAAGATTTTAGCATGATGAGGCTGCCATCTTAACTCCTCTCCATTAACTGGTTTATCATTTTGCTGAGGGAATTACCAGTGTTATTCCTCCCAGCACCATTTAGAATTGCTTGGGGCTTCTTACTAGATTTATTTTCATTCACTGGTGAGTCTGATTCCATGGAGCTGGGTTAGGGTTAGCCTTAAAATAGAAGTGTCTATGAGATGGTTGTGAGGTATTGGGATAGGCGGCACTCCAGAGGGATTGGCAAAACTCGGTAGGTGCCAAGTATTAGTTGACTGGGGCAGGAGAGGACTTCGGAGGCATGTTGGAAGTTCAGATTGAACTAGGGATCTATGTATTCACAGGCAGGTGCTGCAGATCCTGCAAAGGTCTGAAGGGGAGGGAGTATAGTGCTCAGAAGTCCTGGTGTGGTGCTGTGGGTTAATGTGCCAGACTGCAAGCTGTCTGAACTGCAAGGTCAGCGGTTCAAGCGCACCAGCTGCTCCTTGGAAACCCTATAAAAGGTCACTATGGGTCAGGATTGACTTGATGGCACTTAACAACATACTTTGAAAGGAAATAGTGCAACAGTATTAGCAATACAAAAGATAAATATTTATTCAGAACCAAACTTTTAACAATCGATTTTACATTCTAAACCACAAGAATATAGCAAAACATATAGCCAAAAAACAAAATAAAGAGAGAAAAAACTGTTAAGAGAGTAAACAGTATACTAATTTTTCTACTTTAACTTGGTAACACTTAGTTGACCCATACCTTCTTGGCTGGCTTATTTCGCAGGTACATTTGAGTCAGGTTAACACCTCACTTATAATTCCAGGTTAAAATCACATTTCTCCTGAGTCAGGAGGTTACAGATGAGCTCCAGCGAGTTGCTTTTCTGGGGTTCTTGGCTCTGGGGCTAAGGTGCAATGTAAACCTTTGGTCGGTTTCCTGACTCGGGAGGAACCATTTCTCACTGGTTGCACTGAATGGGGAAAGTGGAAGTTTTTACAGATCAGGCACACTTGATTCCAAACGTGGTACTCTAGGGAACAAGTAAGTACACGTTGGAGTATGGCCTTTGACCCTTTCTCTGTAGTCAGTTTTGTCATAAGTCCCTGCTACACCTATGTCAGCTCACTCCCCAAGATTTATCAGCATTCCTATGCGCTCATCATTCTGGAGAGATCATACATTCTGGGCCCCCAAGTGACAAGGAAAAAAAAATGTTGTGAAGTGTGAGAGGTAGTGGAATGAGCACCGGGACTGGAGGGTCAGGGAACTCTACTCTCGGCTCAGCTCTGGAACCAATCAGCAACGTGATTTTTGATCCAGTCACTTAACCTCTCTGGGCCTGTTCCATTTGCTGGAAAACTGAGTGGATGGTCTAAACCAACTCTCCCGTTCTTACCAGCAAGACAATTCTAGATTCCATGATTCTATAAAAAATGGCTTCGGAACCATGGAAAGAGCTGTCATAAAGTCCATGCATTTTGTGCCATGAAGAGAGGCCCTTGCCCACCACTCAGAGCTTATTGAATCAGATTTACATACACTTCTAACAACACTGGTTTCACAAATTCTCAGACCACACAGATTAGAAGCAGCAAATTAAAAGGGGGAAGGAGGGGAGCTGCAAAAGGTAGACATTCTGATAGAAGCCACAGTCGACACTGTTTTCAATTCAACAAACACGGATGGAATGCCTACCACGTGTTGGGCCCCAACATAGCGCTGGGGCATTTAAAGATTAACAAGGCAGCCCAAAGGGTGACAATCCGGAGAGAAGACAAGGGTATGGGGTGGGACGGTTGAAGTTAAAAATAAAAAAATAAAGAAAAAAAAAACTAAACCCAAATATAAAAACGAAAACAAAAATTTAAAAGGGAGGGACAACGTATCTGCACAGTTCTCGGTAATTACTGATTAGAGTCACCAATTCAGAAAAGGCTGAAATGGAATACACTCTGTTTAAAAAGGCAGAGAGAGATAGAGATGTCTTTTGTTGATTTAAAAAAGATGTCCTTCAAAAATGATAAAAAAAAAATGGTTTCAAAAAAAGTTTTGGCACTTAGAGAGGGGTAAGCTGGCTGTGTGTTCACCCCGGCAGGCTGTTGGGTGTTCAGTGCCCCGCCATGCCGGTGAGCTGAGCTGCCACGGAATTGTGAACTGCTTTGGGACACTGGGCAAAAGCGTGTCCTCGCTTGCCACAGAGGTTGCACACGATGCCTTTCCGGCAGTAAGGGCTCAGGTGCCCCTCCTCTCCGCACCTGAAGCACCTGTCCTGCGTGCAGCTTCCGCTCATGTGGGTCCGGGAACCACATTTAAAGCACGTCTTGGGCTGCCCCTTGTACCAGCTGTAGCCCCTCTCGGCCCCCAAAAAGAAGGCCCCTGGCAGGTGCCTGATCCCGCCCTCCCCCTGGCGCAGCTCGATCTCGCACTTGTACTCCCCGGTCCAGATCCCAAACCTGTCGGTCACTTTCACGGGCACTGCCAGAACATCGCAGTGGCGCTTGAGCCAGGTCACGATGTCCTCCACGTCCACCGTCTCATTCCGGAAGAGGATGAAGAGCGTCTTCAGGCTGGACTTGCTCCGCCCCAGCACCACAAAGTTCTCCCAGCAGTCCTCCTGCTCGCGCTTCTCCTCGTAGACGCGCAGGAACAGTGCCAACTTCTCCGCCGAACGGAAGCTCACGTCGAACTCGCGGCTGCCGGGGATCTGGATGACGGCATAGATGTCGCTTGGGTCCATGCCGATGGAACGCAGGATGAGCGCGCCCACCACGAAGTCTCGGGTCGGACAGGAACCTTCGTCACCCTGGAAGCAGATACGCACGAGGAAGCGTCCCTTACCCGGGCCCGCTGCGGAGCCCACCGTGGGCGCCTGCTCGTCCTGGAGGGGCCGCTCCGCTGCGTCCTCGGCCGGGCAGTGTAGGGCAGGGGCCGCCATGGTCGCAGTCTCGGTTTTCTTTCTCCTGCTCGCCTCGGCTGTGCCCTTCTTCTTGCGGGAGTCCGCAGCCTCGCCGGCGGGGTCTCTCCGGCGCCCCTTCAGATCCCCGCGGCCAGCTGGGGGGAAGTCTCCAAAGCCCGGTGCGGCCAAACCCGCCGGGGCGCCGAGCGCGCCGTCGCTGCTTTCTTCTTCCCGCCGCGGCGGCCGCGACTCACGGAACTCGCCCTTCTTCTCAGCCAGGTTCTTCACCACCTGGGCCCAGCCCAGCTTTTCGCGGCCTCCCTCAGGCTCCTCGCCCCCGGTAGTTGGCCGAGCCTGGGGCAGCAGCTGCGGCCGCCCCCGCTTTCTCTCTTCCTCCGCGCCGCCGCCGGTGGCCATTTTACCTCCTTCCCAGCATCCCCCTCTCGCTCCCGCAGCCTAAGTGCGCCCATCGCGCGCGCCCGCCTGCCCGGGGCTGTGGGGGGTTTTGGTTTTTTTTTTTTTTGAAATTTGATGCTTCTCTTCCCCGCCCCCCCAAAGGTATTTACAAGCGACGCATATTGGCCAGAGCCCGCCCTGAGCCCCCTGGTAACGGTTGAGCCACGTTTCCTCTAGCGCTCTCTCCAACCCCGCCTCCTGGGCGCGGGAAGCTTGGAGACGCGTCCCTTTCCACTGCGCAGATTTGGCAGCCTCCGGGCCTCGCTCTCGAGGATTTGTGATTTCGCAAGCGGTCCTCGATGCTTTCATTTCATTGCTAACGGCCCAAAGACAGGGCAGAGTCGAAGATCTTGCCCATTTTCTTTTTTCTGTCTTTTCTACTAAAACAAAACTTGCTTGTCTGTCTCCCTCCCTCGAATGCAAACCACAATGCATAAAATTTCCAGCCTTACATAAGTACATTTTCAATCACAGAAAAGTTAAAAAAAGTAAAGCGAACATTTAAACTTTATACCATCAAAAATTTACTATATTTTATAACATACCTGCACATTAATCAGTCCTTATTTTTTGGATAAATTTCCAAGTAAGATTTTATAAAATATTTTCCGTCGTACTAATGGAACGCTGGTAGCTTAGTGATTACGAATCAGGCTGCTAATCGCACGGTCAGCAGTTCGAAACTACCAGCTGTTCCGGGCGAGAAAGATGAGGCTTTCTGCGCCCAGCCTTGGAAACCCTGTACAGGGTCGCTATGAGTTGGAACCGATTCCAACAATAACAATGATGTATTCTGGAGTCCTGGTGTGGCTCTGTAGGATCAGCACTGGACTTTGAACCACAAGGTCAGCAATTCAAACCCACCAGCTGCTCCTTGGAAATCCCATACAGGGTTGCTATGAGTTCGAACCCACTCGACAACAATATTACTCCCTTGGAGTCCTGGTATAGTGCTGTAGGTTGAGTACTGCACTGCTAACCACAAGGTCGGCAGTTCAAACCCACCAGCCCTTCCTTGAAAACCGTATACAGTGTCGGAACTAGGAGCTCTGGTAGCGTAGTAGTAGTTAGGAGTCTGGCTGCTAACCTCAAGGTCAGCAGTTTGAAACTACCAGTTTTTCTGGGAGAGAAAGATGAGGCTTTCTGCACCCATAAAGATTTCCAGCCTATGCAGGGTTGCTATGAGTAGAAACCAACTCCAGGGCACAGCACCACCACGTAAGTTGGAATTTACTTGATGGCACTTAACGTTACTCCCTTGGAGTCCTTATGTAGCATTGCTAACCAAAAGGTTGGTGGTTCAAACCCACCAGCAGCACCTCCTCAGAAACCCTTCTGAGTTCCCTATGAATCAGAACTGACTCTGACAGCACTTAACAACGGCAGCAATTACTTCTTTGGTGCTGTGGATAAGCACTGGCTGCTAATTCATCAGCTGTTCTTGGAAACCACATACAGGGTTGCTATGTATGAGTGGAACTGACTAGAAGGCACTGAACAATATTACTCCTTCAAAGAGTCCTGGTGGCATGATGCTAACCTCAAGGTCATCAGTTTAAACCCATCAACCAGCCACCTTTGGTGAAAAACATGAGGCTGTCTGCTCCCATACAGATGAACAGTTTTGGAAACTATGCAGGGATCGCTATGAGTTGGAATCAACTTGATGGTTGGGTTTTTGTTTTTGTTTTTGTTTTTGTTTTTGTTATTATTCCATCATCTTTCTCCACTAATACTTTGGAAGCTTTGATAAAAGTTGGGTAGCTGAAGGAAATGGATTTAACATCCCCTCCTGTCAGTAACATAGTGGGTTAAGAGTTGGCCTGCTAACTGCAAGGTCAGAAGTTTGAACCTACCAGCCGCTCTGTAGGAGAAAGATGAGACTTTCTGCTCCCATAAAGATTTACAGCTTTAGGAACCCTATACAGAGTCACTGAGTCAGAACCGGCTCCACAGCACATGACCACTACCACCTGTCAGTTTACGTGGTTTTTTGACTGGTTTATTTCATTTAGCATAATGCTTTCAAAGCTCAGCCATGTTCTTAAGTGTCAGAAACTATTCCATTATATAGATTGTCATATCAGTTATCTGGGGCTCTGGTAGCATAGTGGTTACAAATCGGGCTGCGACCCGAAAGGTCAGCAGTTCGAAACTACCAGCTGCTCCACGGGAGACAGATGAGGCTTTCTGCTCCCGTAAAGATTTATAGCCTCAGAAACCCTGTTCAGGGTCGCTATCATGGCACATAACAACAACAACAACAACATCCATTATCTAGTACTGTTGTAAAAGAAATACCACAAGTATTTAGCAAACAAGTTGTCTTCGTTCACAGTTTGGGAAGCTGGAAGTCCAAATTCAGTGTTGACTTTGGAGAAAGGTCCTTGCCTTCTTTCAGCATCTGTTGGCACAGCATTCCTTGGAGATTTCCATGTGTCTTGACACCAATCTTGCCCTAGACCTTGGCACTTCACAAAGCAGGGACCCCAAGTCCAAAGGTGACCTCCATTCCTGTTTCTTGGTGGCAGTAGTGCCCTGTTCTCTGCTCACTTTTCTCTATTTTTGTAAGATAAAAGATGTTGCAGGCCACACTCCAGGAAATCTCCCTTATATTGGATCAGGGTTGTGACGGAATTAAGGGTATTGTAACCCAGTCTTAACCCTTTTATTGGTTTATTGCATCGTCAGATCACATCGTTGGAAATCATCACATAAATGCCACCTTACATTGTTACATGAGTGCCAAACCAATGAGAAGCATGACGAGTCAAGTTGACACATATTTTGGGGGGACACTATTTAATCTATGACCAGTATCATTGTCTCAGTTTACATATGAGCTAACTGAGGCTCACAGAGGTGAAGGGATCTATTATAGGAGCATCTGTGAGATATTTTGAGAGCTGGGTCATGTCTTACCCTTCACAGATGATTGCTGTGAAAATTGCATAATTCCTCAGTGTTCTGTAAACACCAAACTGCTGTTGTTGTTATGTGCCGTGGAGTCGGTTCCAACTCATAGTGACCCTCTACAGGGTTTCTGAGGCAGTAAATCTTTACGGGCGCAGAAAGCTTCCTCTTTCTCCCAAGGAACAGCTGGTAGCTTCGAACTGCTGACCTTGAGGTTCGCAGCTCGATTTGTAACCACTGTGCTACCAGAGCTCCTTAACTTGATGGTTGTTGTTGTTAAGTGCCCTCAAGTC